CTGGTTATACAGGCCGCGCAGGGCGTGTTCTATCCAAACATTATACTTTATGGCTGTCTGAAAGGCGGTGTACAGCCATCCACGGTTCACTGCCTGAGCGCCCGCTCACCTCTGGTCACTGAGCCAAGTGACAGCCCTCTTTCGAAGTCATTTAGGAAATGAATGCAAACGTATCGAAGTAAGTAAGTATCCGCCACCTCAATACAGCAGAGGCTGTAGCAACCCAGCGGTGGTGGTAGTTTCCCCGAGATGGTTCATTCATTTCTTTACTCACTGGCTGTAATCCTACGAGCAATATCTGATGATCTTGACTTGATTCTCTAGCCGTTATTACCTTTTGACTTTACGGACCGTTTTTGAAGACTGTTTTGACCCAGCAGCCAGTGGTGGATCTATTTATGTGTGTTCATATTGTTACGACCGAAATGCAAGTATTTTTGTTTGAAGACAGGAAACGATTCAAAGGGAAAAAAGCTAACCCGATAAGAATGAGCCAGTGTGTTCGACTGCATAGTTTCACAAACTTCCTCGAGTCACTTGCAGTCAAACATCAGGTTTCAACAATATCAAAACACTATTTGACGTGACAAACCTGTGGCACCATTAAACAACAGGTTATTTACATTACAAAAGTACCTCAACAACCCGAATGGTCAATTACACAGTTCAAAAGCCTCTCTAGCACAGAATACGTACCACACAGCAAAATCCGACTGACCGAATACGACTATTAAGTGCCTGAGAATTAACGAGAATGTTCCCAACAAAATGGGATCAACATTCTGTCTACAAAAATCAGTTGACAAACTTTCCCAGTATACAGCCAGAGTGCAAGCAGTCTCTCCACAGCGCAACCATAGGTTGAGCAGAAGAAAGTCTATGGAACAGTAAAACAAGGCCATATTGTCAACAATCCAACAGCAAGGTGAAGCATTAATGATAAATCTCAATCAGAAGAATAAATAATGAGTGTCTAGCCTAAGATGACCAACAAATAAAATAATATTGCATCGGTTAGGGCTGGAGGATAATATCCACAGAGAGGGAGAAGTATTCGAATAAACATCAGCAAGGCTAAGCAAGTGCAAAGGAGGGATTTTCAAACCATTTGTTCCGCTAAACACGTGAATTGCGTAACTGTTTTACACAAGTTTACTGCATATAGGCGAATACCTAGTTCTATGTCCTCGCTTCTCTCTACTTCGTGGTCATATTTTTTACCCCACTTTTCATTCCGCCGCCTTTGGATGCACCTTCACCTTCTTTTCCATGGGCGTTTTTAGCCAGTACAACTGACTCATATATATATATATATATATATATATATATATATATATCACGATCAATATACTTCCACGTTGTATTTTTGTGCCTCCATTTTGAGCTTGACCAGCTGCTCGCTTTTGTCACCCTTTTTTCAGGTCTAACTGACCAGTCATTCATTCCTATGAAATCCTGGTAATTCCACTTGTCAGCATGCACCATGTCATCATAATTTATGGGGAAAGCACATGATTCAAGGTCACGGTTGTACCACGTGCCCTACCCTCAAAGATATTCTATGGTTCAAACGGTGGACGAATAGTTCCTAATTTTGAGCTGAAGACGCTCTGATGTGCCAAACGACTATGTTTGAGTTCAGCTGTTTCATTTTTTTGCATGTGAGGCACTAGCGTTCTTTCCTTAGACCCACAACTTATGCACTTTAGATGGTGTTGTCCAATGCATTGCTTGTTACTGTAAGTAACAATAATTTCATATTACCAAAGTGATCATACCCGTAAACTGGTTTGTTTTCGTGTAGCTTATTTCGCATGAAATATATCATTACCATTATTGGTCATTATGATCACGATATGCAGCTTCTCAAGATGACTCGTCTAAAAGATTTTATTCACTGAATTATCTCTTATGACTTTTCATCCTCTAATGAGACTATTTCGATAGTTTGAAATCTATCAAAATAAACAGTGTTTATTGCCCAGCTAACTCCATTTCTAAACTCAAACAGACTGCCCTTATTTAACTTGGGGGCAGTCTGATTTCATTTCCTTAGCAATATTACTGTATGGTGAACTAACTGGAATCAGGCCGAAGAAAGCAGCCATTATCTCTTGGTAGCCAGCTGACTTGAGAACAAATGTTGAACTGCATAAGTTATCTGGCAAGCATAAACGGGGATCCAGTTATAATGGGTTCCTCTGAACACTGTTACTGATCTCGAAATACTTGGCAGTTGTCTCGCCACAGCGTTTTCGCACAAATTGAGAGTACCAGATAATGCTGAGCCCTTGAAGGCCACCATTTGAGGTTTTTCCAACCCCGGAGTAGAAACTCAGCGTGCACGATAGTTGTTACTGGCTTAACATCATATCCAGGTAGCATCTGGCAGGAGAGTTAGTAAGCAGACCATAGGAAATGTTAACCTTGATATCGATTCAGAGCCACATCTTAGCGTAGAAAAGCCTAAAGGGGCCTCACCGGACAACCTTGAAATCCAACCCGAGCTGATATACAGATCATTTTTATGACCTCAGCACAGTAACTATCGAATGAAACCTCTATATTACAAGAGTCATATAGGCGCAACGTTTCAGTGTCGGCGATCGCTGGAGCTCCACCATTTTAAGGTTAAGGGAAGATGAAGTCGTGAAGGATGAATACCCTGCAGTCGTAAAGGAGGCTGACTGCAAGAGGTGACAACGGGCTCAGAAATGGCGTCATTTGAGTGGTCAAAAGTGGCCAACAAAAGTTAGGTTTTTAGAGGTAGACTAGGGAATGAGCGCAAATTGGGTCACTCAGGGTGAATGCAAGAAACTAAAAAATGGGGTCCGATAAACACAAGCATTGATGTGACAGAAGGCCAGTTAAAATCATTTCCGGAGGGCAACAAATGAAAACAAAGTGCTAAACGAGGACCAGCTAATCCTGATAAAAAAGAGGAATCGTTACACAGGCCAAAACTGCGTGGTGATTCATGATGCAGTGAATATAAAAACTGCGCCGGGAAGATAAGGTGGTCCAAGCCGGTTCAGAAATTTTGAGAAGACACGTAAGTCAAATAAGATGTGGAAATTATAACTACGGTATAACGTATATTTCTGTCAGCCTACCGCTAGATCTGTTCCTGGACAACCCATAGGAATCAGAAGCCAAATCACGACGTCCGGGCAACAAAAATAATTTCCAGAGTTATGCTGGTCCGAAACCAACGCAGCGTCGAACGAACCACTTCCAGGAACCCGCCAAGAACCCGAAGTGACCCTAATACCTATAGTTTCTCTCTCTTCTAATAGAGTTCTATCATGGAGCGAATGAATCAATACCCCGGAGGTTCTTCGGCTCTTAAAGCTTTCGCAGCCAGTCACGGCATACTGAAAATTCGCGGACACCAGATGGTCGTAGGTGTGGGAATCGGCCTTGCGAAATTTCGTTCTTGAAGGGCTTAGAAAAAATCAAGGCCATCGAAAGCATGAATATGCCTTCACCTTCTGCGCACATTTCGACGATGTAATACACCTGTCATCTTGCCGCCTCCACCGTTTACCGGGGAAATGATCGATCCTCTCTTATTTCTTTTGATGGATTTTTCCAGTAGTTTTTTCTGAGTTGAGCCGATTAGTCATGATTATTCCGTGAGTTCCTGCTCTGATGCCTCTGTTTGGCCCTTGTTCTGATTTTGCTCTCGTCACATTTATGGGCCAGGTTTGTTATGCAGGACACCGTTTGGTCGTCTTTGTATCTGGTCGGCTGGATGCAGCTGTTTCTCGTGGTGGGAAGGCTATCACTAGATGGGAGGTGTGTATGCCAAGCCAGCGAGTTGAAAATAAGATGAAACATGCATCGTGGGTTGCACCGTTAGCCAACATCCATCATTATCCCCAAACAGCACGTTGGAACACATGCAACAATCGTGTTTTACTTGTTCATACTCCATTTTACGGATGTGAATTTATCCTCGTATTCCCATCGTTACTTTCAGTTTCACTTAATATTCCAAATTTGCTCCTATTTGTGCAAAAGATGCAGGGCATATAAATCATGTTCCACCTGCTTGTCGTTCACATGGCTGTTTTCTGCAACTTCACCGAAAGCACTCGGTGATGTTGCTGACTCTTTGGAGGTAATATCAATGTAGAAGGAGGCGACATTTCATCCACTGGACCTAAACCTAGGGCATTTTGCCCATTTTGTGCAGTTCGATCCTGAACTTTACATGTAGTACCAAAATTAAAATGCTCAAGACTTTTCAATAACGTTTGGTCCCTTTTGTATTTCCACAGGTTAGGTCAGTGACAGGTTGGCGTTTCGAAACCACATTCTCTGGGTATGAAAGTAAACAGAAAATTGGATGCGATCATCTCACTTGACGAACTATCATGTAGAATGATAGCTTGAGAAGGCTTTAATGAAGATTCTTAGTGGTGCCGCTAGTGGGGTCTGCAAATTACGAAAAACTCGTTACACAGTACTTTCAGAAACAGTCTGAGAGTGTACCTGGAATCTGAATTCCAAGATGACTGTTTCTTTGAGGTCACTTACTTTTATTTGTAACCGGGGTTATCAGCATCTGAAAAGTAAACCAGCTGACAACTGGCAATTTGCCCCTCTAGGTCTGTTAGAACTAGGAGTAGAATAGCTGATCAGTAGGCAACACCTGGTGGCAATGTGGAGGTAAAGCTGGAAAAATCAGTTCATGCCTCATGTAACAGGAAGTTCACACCAAAAATCGTTTGTTTAAGACGGTTTAGGAGGCCGATGCATAGGTAATTTATACTCTTTAGTAGTTAATTTGCTGTGAAAGACTGTAAGACACCAGACATAATATAGTGAAAATAATACACAGTGTAGTCCACTAATACAAACCTAATTTTTTCAGGCTTTCAAAACAATGAGAATTGAGCAGGTTTGTTTCTGCTTGCTGCCATTGGCGCGCAGCCACCAGTTAGTTGTTGCGCGTGGTTATCTTGTTAGTCGCCGTTTAGTTGCATATTAGGAAAATGAATGGTCGGACAAATGAAGCAGGTGATAAACACCCAGCTTCTTCCACTGATCCTAGTGAGTCAACGTGTGAACCATCAGATATGACCTCCAAGGATTATTACTTTGACTCGTATGCTCATTTCGGAATCCACGAGGTACGCTTAATGCAGAATTTAACATACCTGTTAGGAAATGCTGAAAGATGAAATCAGAACTCTCACCTATCGCAGTGCTTTAGTTCATAATAAACACCTCGTTAAAGACAAAGTAGTGTTGGATGTGGGATGCGGGACTGCCATTTTGTGCCTTTTTGCTATCAAGGCTGGTGCCAAACACGCTATTGGGGTATTTCTCCTAAAATGTATATTAATTACAGATTGAATGCTCCAACATCATTGACAGGGCAATGGAAGTTGTCCGAGCTAATAATATGGCCGATCGTGAGTTTAATTATTTTTGTGTTTGATTTTATGTATACTGTCTTTACATTATGTCTTACATTCGACCTTTCTGTTTTTACAGGGATCACTTTAATTAAAGGAAAAGTGGAAGAGGTAGAGCTGCCACCTGAGTACCCAAAAGTTGATATTATCATCAGCGAGTGGATGGGGTATTGTTTATTTTACGAATCAATGTTGAACACAGTGATTTTTGCCAGAGACAAATGGTTGGTAAGTTTCTTGTCCGTATTTTGCTTTGGAATTGCCAGGTTTGCAAGTTAGGACGATTTACTATGTGGTAGTGGTTTAAACTTGTATGGATTTGTGCGAAATGTAGTTCCGTGCTTTGAAAGTATGAGAATAATGCAGCTGGGACTAGTACATTTGTATATTGGAACTACAATGTCATTAAGGTTTACGATTTTGGGCAAAACATGTTTACGTATCTATCAGCTACATTTGATTCAGTGATTCGTGTTAAAGGGTTGTCCATAATTGTTTACAAAGTTGTTCTGTGGAAGCTTTCAAGATGTGATTTGTTTGAAGATTGTGAAGACGATGTTGTCAATGTGACCGCATTAAGATGGTTCACTTGAGAGATACAAACACTAACTTCGTACAGGTCGAAATTTACTGACCTTCATGATCTGTCAATGCAAGTCTAAGGGATTTTCTTCAGCATGTCATTCGGTAACTTTGAACACTACATTCATCAGACATGAACACTGCTTCTCTAGCTAACCTGGGAAACTGCGCTTTTAAATCCCACGTTGTTAGTATGTTTCGGGGATGTCGCAGTGGACACAGCTTCCAAATTTTGCCATCTAGTCCAGGAAGCCTTACATCTGTACTCGACCTTTCCTGACCTTAAAAGAAATAAGTGCAGACCAAATGAGAACTATCTTTTAAACTTAGCCTCGATTCATGATGAGTATATTCTTTGGACATAAGCTTGTGGGTGTTACACGTGGGTGATTTTTGAGTGATGATAATGGATCTCAGCCCGTTGTGTAAATCTTGGCAGGCAGGTGTCCAAATCGGCTGTTAAACCTGCCAAACGTCAAGTGTATAACCAAATCACCACTATAAATGTAGTGTGGAGTATCAAGTTACCTCTTACATTATAAATTACGACACATTTTCGCTGGCTTATAGTAGTACTCTGCATTTGGTTTTCTCTAGGCTCCCCATGGTTTGATTATGCCAGATCGTGCAACTCTTTACGTGTGTGCTATTGAAGATAGGCAATACAAGGATGAGAAAATTAACTGTGAGTTTAATTATCAAGTTCTTTAACGTAACTCATTACAGTTCATACGTTTATACTATGCACCCAACCCGGTCGATTTATGAGGTTGTCATTTAGATGAAGTTGCGAAGATTATTTCGATGTTATGGTTTTCCTACTGTTCTGCTAAAATAAACTAACCCCACAAAAGTGCAATTAAATATCATACAGTTAGATGTGCACGATCTCCAACAGGGTACTTGAATTTTTATCGGTGGACTAACGCCGTAATTTTTATTATCACTGGAAAGTAATAAGCACTTCAATTGATTTTATGAATACTGGTAGCAAGTTAAACAGATGGTTGTTTGCCCTATTCTGAGTACAATACAGCCCTAACTTTGAATAATACAAGTCCTTTTGTTTTGTGATATGGTTTCAAGTGAAGCATATTAGGAATGTTGAGCCCAGTCAAATGTAGGTATGAAATATTATCAGGGGTTTCATACATCAATGTAACACCTAATGGACAGAGAAATAGTTAAGTTTTCATACCCATTCGTTTTTGTCGCTCTGTACTTCATAATCCCTTCTCGAATTCTTTTCAGGGTGGGACAGCGTGTACGGGTTCGATATGAGTTGTATCAGAAAAGTTGCACTTACAGAACCCTGGTCGATGTTGTTGATCCCAATCAAGTTGTGACAAATTGTTGCTTAGTCAAAGAAGTCGATATGTACACAATAACGGTCCCTGATTTAACTTTCACTGCACCTTTTACGCTCACTTGCAAGAGGAATGACTATATCCAAGCGTTGGTTACGTTCTTTAACATTGATTTCACTGCCTGTCACAAACCTACTGGTTTTTCAACAGGTTAGTTGTCATGTTTATTACATTTTTTCGTTTGCATTATTTTGTGACACTGTGATACTTAACATGTCGATTTAGCAGGTGCGAATTATTTTTACATTTATCTTACTGTATTCTGCCACTTTAGTCGTGCGCATCGAACAACTTATCTCGTTAGATAACTATGGGTCCTAGGATCTTGGACACATTAGTCAAAATAATTGACGTATCGTTGTCACAGAAAGACGTCTAGCTTTCCATGGACTGGGGTAATCAGAGAAGACCAGTCGAATGGCACTACCTCATTCCCATACACTCCTTAGTACCTTCGTCACACTATGTAGCAACTTCCTACCTCTTCGATTGGCTCAACTTCTCTATTTGAGCGTCAAAGTTACCTAACTGCATCTGAACCATTTGCTTTCTATGGCAAAATTGACAGCCTTTCATAGAATTCATCCTTTATATCATCCGAACTGCTGTCGGTGGGTGTGTAGGCGGGGATAATGAATAGGCATCTAGTTTTGCGATCCTTCCTAGTTCTTACAAATCCATTTAACTAAACAACACAGCCATTGATTCGTATTTCGCAATATGCACAGTTTTCCCGCTATGAAAGGTCTTTTCCAGGTGCTTCAAACCACTCATTGTTACATAGTTGGATTATTCATTTATTTCATCACCTTGAGGAGTTTCCGTGTTCATAATAACTTAGTACGCGACCAGAATGCTACCATTTCCTTCACTGTAGAAAAGAGGCAAAGTTAGGCCTGTTGCTTACACCGTGCTTCCAAAAAAGACAAACAGTCTACATACGAAACATCAAGCCTAGTTCTTAATGTTTTTGAGTCTACTGTCTTGAATTTCTTTAGACCCAGTTCTCCCGACCCGCGTAAAATAGATATGTATTGTCCACTAGATATGTCCACAGGGTATATTTCACCATGTTGACTGAAACGGCATCTGCATTTTATGCGCACTCGATCTGCTTTGCAACAGCATAGTGTCGTTTGCTTAAAAATAGACTATCGGCATAGGACCGTGTACTACTGCGCAACGATCCAACTTGGAGCACATGAAGTGAGAATGCACCAAAGATACAGGAGTACATGAGGATGAAAGCATTTAAAAGTGAAAGAGAGTCGTGAAGTTAAAGCCAGGAGGAACAATGATATTGCGATTAACTAGGATGATCAGGGGTAAGATAATGTGTTTATGTATCTGTGCCACTGTGACCGATTCTGTGCTTTGTCACCAACCTGTGGTTTCTGTTGCCACGTGGACCCCGTCGATAAACCCACCTTCTATGCTACTCAGATCAGCAGTCAAAGACTTCTACTTTCGCCATGTTTTCTGGCTACCTGTAACCTTTATCCAACCTGATCCTATTTCACCACCAGGCCTACGCAACTCCTGAGTCAATAAAGTTCCGCAATCTCATCGGTTAACTTCCCTCTTCTTAAAACTCTACACCTAACGGCCTATGCTACAAAAGTAATGGGGTTCGCTCACCTAAAGCCTTATCATTTCTATATTTCGAAGCCATGTAGTAAAACCGGGAACTGCAGCTCAGTACACTTAACCCTTGATAAGCAATCGGAAATCACAGTGGCGCAGTAAATGGCATAGGTTGGTGTAATTCAATCGAGTCTTTCATATCCGTTTGGAGATTTTGTCGGTCACTGACCCACCATGACCGATCCCACTTCCCGAGTCAGTAAAGAGGTCAGCGCTCTCAACCAATTCACTTCCTGAAGCTAAACAAGACATCTCATAAAACCTGTCCTAGATCAAAAATTTACAAATGGGTAGCCAGAAACTCATTCCAGACGTTCTGAAGTGACCATCCAGGGTGTTCAGAAGACTGCATTTTGTCAGTATCATTTATCTAATGTACGTCTTCTAAGCAGTCTTCCGTAAAAATAGACTAGAAAAGGCAGACCTCCATGAGCAACTGTGAAGAAAATAAATAAGGATTCTAAGTTGCTATCCTTGATGGACACAGCTCACCTGACACCTTATCATAGGCTCTGACATGCCTACTGGTGTTCAAATACAAGACACTCCTTTCAGTGATAGACAGTGCCTTACGACCTCCAGATCAATGCAATCGAATGCCACCTTCGGGTCAAAAAATACAATCGATGTCGGGTGTTTGTAAGTGTAGCTGTGTTTCAGACCTTGACGAAGTAAGAGTATCTGGTTGATATTCCCACGACGAGATTTGAAACCTACTTGGTTTTTTCAAATTTGTTATTTTGATCTCTGCTCAAACGACTGATAATTACAGAGCTTTTAGACACTGTTCGCCAGGCTGATTCTCCTTTAGTTATCCCAAGAGGACTTCTCACCTTCCTTGAAAACATCCACTGTCAATGATTGTGAGACCAGCCACACTTGATTTTATCAGTAATCCTCGCCTACCTTTGGTACTAGTCCGTCTGGTCTTGTTGCCCTTCCTAGTCTGAGATTGCTTACAACTTTCCCGACTCCTGTGGGTGTTGAAGCCCTTATCTCAGTGTTTCATTCAGGATCTAACTGGAAAGTGATCGATTAAACTGCTCTTCAAAGAGTTACGCCCACTATTTCAGTCATATATCCCGCGAGTGAATTGCAAATTGATTATTTCCCCTATGGTCTCAGTAACTATTGTCCTTTCCTCCCCAATCTCGATCAGTCAAAATGTTTGTCTAGTGCTTCAAATTTCTGCTGCGTTCTTCATTTCTTAAGGCTTTTCTATCCACCACTTGCGTTCATTGTGAAGACTGTCTGCTAGTTTATACTTGAACTGCTACCCCTCATCGTACTCAAAGACAGTAGGACCACATTCTCACATATCCATTAATTCAAAGAAAACTCAAAACCACTGTCTTCAATATCGTCCTGACAACCGGTTACAATCTCTAACACTTTATGCAGCTTGTTGGAGAAGACACCCGGCTTATTCAGGGTGTGACATTGTCCTTTTCCTGTAACTGTCTAGCCAACATCTTGGGGAAAAAAGCCTAAGTATTTTTAATCGTCAATCTGCGGTCTTAGTAGACTTACAGATGCAGCCTTTCTATATTCGTTTTGGCGTGGGCATGGTCACATGATCACTGTCCGAACGAGGGAGCAACCACCCACCCCGTCCAGCCACTACTGATAGTAGTATGATCTGTCTGTGTCCATCACTGAATTGAAATCGGTTGACACCACGTCACACGTCTGTCCGTAAGTTTGGAGTTCGTGCTGACTGGAAAAAGATTGTCTGGGCGCGGTTCAAGCAGATAATCTCGGTTATATTCGTCCACCTGGGATTTTAAAAGTGACACCTTAGTGCCTTTTTACTGACTAAGCCTACCGACTCGAGTAATAAAGTCACGTACTACGAATACTATATCTCATCGTTTGGCTTACACAAGGAAGCTAGGCCGTTTTCCTTGGAACTTATTCCACACTTTATCTCAGTTTCAGTCTGTGGTTGCGTCAGTAGCGAGTATAAAGAGATGACGGTAGGTTTCACCATTCTCTTCACTCCTCACTGCATCGATGAGTCGAACTGTCAGCTGGTATCCAGTTGGGCTGTGCACCCACACCTCCGAGACGGCGACAACTAACTATCGGATCTCTAGGAACTTGAATCGTGAATTTCGCAGAATAATCATATTGGTTGGATGAGATTGGGTAGCTTATTAGCCGCTCTGATGGAGGGTGTTGATATTGAAAGCTCTAATGTGTAGTTTGTAGCGCCTTTTTAATGAGGTCGCGGATGTTGTTCTATGAACTGAAGTCGTTATTGAGAGCTACAGAGGTGAAGAAAATTTAAGCTGACATGGGAATATTGACTAATAGACATGGTGAAAGTGTAACGGAACCACGGGTTCGAACATCCACAAAAATTTTGTCACTCGGGAAGTATCGTTAGGTGTGGTTCATTGCCTACTGCACAAATGCGAGCAAGATTGCTAAGTACATTTTTATTCGGGAAGGGTTATAAGGTAATGATGTGGGATTTGACAGTGATCTAAGGGAGCTTGAGTGCTGATGGAGTTATAAAGGTAGTTGACACTACCCAAATCGTAGAAGGTTATTTTTTTTTTTGAGATACCTGAAAAGAGAGTAATAGTGATACGTAACCGCAGAACCAAAGGTCATCTAATTCAGGCTGTCTTCAAGCGATTTTTTTTGGGAGTTTGGGGTTTTAGTTAGTTTTTTTTGATCCATCTATGAACCCACACTGCAAGCATCACTTCCATGGGATAGGGGAAGTGTGTTGTTCCTAAGGCCATTTTTTCAACCTTATAAGCAAGACAGCATCAGTATAGTACAGCTGGTCACCCAAGAAAACATTTTAGTGCTATCTCACCACGTCCAACCAACGGTACGACTTTGCTACCGTAACATTTAAATTTACAACGGTAACTGTTTTCTGTCTTTCATCTACCCAGCAAACTTTTCTGGCACGGTAGAACCTCGAAAGAACAAGCGCTCCGCCAACACTGCTTTTTAGGTTAGTGTGAAATGCAAGTCTGGCCATCATCGGGCCACAGGATGATTGTACCTTACTGTCTGGTACATGTACCGCGTTGTTTGCAGCATGTTAATTCAGTCTAGTAAAGTTGCTACCGGTGTACGTTTTCAGACACATGTACATCGAGTTATTAAAGTTAAGGATAACTGTTTTTATTGTTGATTTAGGTCCTGATGAGCGCCGCTACACTCACTGGAAGCAAACAGTTTTCTATCTTGACAATGGTGACGATGACTGTCTGACAGTCAAGAAAGGTGAACAAATAAATGGTGTGATGTCAATCAAACCAAATGCTCGAAATAACGTGAGTGTTTTTGTCTGTTGTATTTTTATGATTGTAATCATCTGTACATTTCAGTGTTCGTTTCAAGTGTTGATGATTCCTATGTTTGGTAGAGCTTACAGCATTCAGATGTTCAGGTTTAAGACTTCGAAGACACCTGTTTTTAGCCTAATCTTTCCAAAGACCATGAAGATCAGTATATATATGCGGTTCCTTTCATACAAAAAGTGTAGTTGTGCGCCGTTATCAAAGGTGGGAGTTAAGATAGTGTTTAATATTCCTTGCTCATAGACCCAAGAAATGGCCAGCTGTTCCAATATTATATTTATGCCTAAAGGTGTAACTCATCACTGAGTTCTCGTTTTTGAATCAGTAGGTTAAGGAACCCAATATATTGGTTCACCGGTACTCATTCTCAGGTAACGCCATTAACTAAACTACAGTATGCTGTTGAGCTAAACGATTGTGATTTCTGGATTGCATTGTAGGTTTGCTAGTACTAAATTTAAAATAAAGATTCTTTTGATTCTGAACAGTGTAAAAAAAGGTAACGTTCTTGCCTCTGTAGTACAGTATTAATGACCAATGTCAGATGAAATGCTTTCTTATCATCCGAATTTCCAAACTAAGGCAAAACAGCTTAAAAATAAGTTTTTACGGAAGTATTGTTTGTGTATTTTCTGTCTTGTGTTGGACAAAATAACTTCGTTAGTTGTGTTTGTTACTTGATGTGGTAACTTGAACTGTTACCTAGTAGTGCCTGATCCTGCATTGGTCTTAATTATTATGAGGGCGTTGTACTAACTACTAACACATTGTGAAATAACCCTGCCATTGTGTCCCTTGACGATTAATTTCATAGTTTTCTGCCACAAGACGGTCACTTGCTCGATACAAAGTAACGATGTGCTGTTATTTTAAATATAGGGGGGCACTGTATGTAGTGTACACAAGCAACCGAAGTAAACTATTTCCTACGGGCGAAAGCGCTCCACAGTCAATGCGAGGACATAAACGGTAGAAAAATGAAACTGACACGTTCTGTATTCAACACTTGACGGTTTGGTATTAAGGGATATGAAAGTAAGCGAACTATGTCAGTTGACAGAGATTAGTAGTTCGTTGTTATTGCATCTGGCGAAAATCCTTTAGTCACTATAATCTAGCTGAATTATTTCGTTGCAAAACTGTAGAGGACTTACTCCCAGTAATCACAACTAAACAGTTACACTTATCCAAACGTCAAGTTCTAGTAGGTCTAAGTCATTTAAGGTTCAGGTTTTACAGTTAAATATATAGCCTGTGCGAAACTTGGCATCTTCCACACAGGTATTTATAGTAATGGAAAATAGTTTTGATTGCTTTCAGCTGGTGATGCCACATTGTTTTTTTCCGAAGCTTTAAAATTTTGTTTGTTCATTCTGTATAGCGTGACCTCGATATCAATGTGAAAGTGGAATTCGAAGGAGAACTTTCCTCGATTGATGCCACGTTCAACTATCGAATGCGCTGAAGTGAAGCTTGTTGTTGCTTTGAATTTGACTACCCTATATCCTATACAACATTTCGAAGCACATAATTTTATATTTCCCTTACTGCCTTTGGTGTGCAACAGCATTTAATTATTATATCTTGAAGTTACCAGATTTGTTTGGACATTCCCTTCCAGTACTAGAATTCGATCAGCCCATACGTGTAATTATCACAGTCTGTTTTCAGTTTTTACCGGATTTTCTAAATAAAGGAAGTAATGCACAATTTTCGTCTTAACTCCACGCAATTTGATCCCAAAATAAATCTGAGTAGAGACTTTCAGTGTGACTACAGGCAAAAGACATTTTTGGACATATATTGGTGACTTGGTGAATACTCCAGTTACTAGGTGTCACTAACCATGTAAACCGTAATTCGTGTCAGTGTTAGGTTATTTATCAAAAATAATTATTTAATAACCTGAAAACAAACTAATAGAAACGGATGTACCGTATCCGCGAAGTTCCTTGTTATTCTTTGCCAAAGTTGCTTAACAAAAAGTTCGTTAACAGTTGATATGCCAGTCACACTTTCTTTTTAGATTTTTCTATTTCAGCAGCTAGAGTTTTTTTTTTTTACTCTTATTTCACAATGGTTTTGTTTATTAACGAACAGCCTCTATTCAGTGGTTTGACATTAGCGCACAAAGCTTGCGAAATTCTACAAGTTATTACCAGTTAGATACTTTTATATCTTATCTTAAAAAATGGGTGATCGTGCCCTAAAGCTATGCCAGGCAAGCAACGAAGGATCCTTTTAAACCTTCTATCCTTTAAAGTCGTGTTAAACGTTCAGATGTGAATTGAGTTTCCGGTAGGTTGGTGCGTTTGCCACGATTAGTAATCCAACCTGGCTTATCTATGTGGAACTCTATTCGGTCGCCAGTTTAATACTGATATCTTTCAGGTGTGCATTGTTCAGTGTGCTTTATCACATCACTTCCTATCATCTTATACACTTACCTGGAAGCGACACTACACTCAATAATCTCATTCTAGGTAGTCCTAGCTATCGATTTATGGTAGCTATGCGGTGTCATTCTTCACAGTATTTCTAGGGAAATTAGTTGCCGTAAAGTTAGTAGGGGTCGTACCATGAACATGTTTAGTGCGGTACGGGTTGTGCAAAGTGAGAAAAATTGACCATCTCGCTAAAAGAAAGTGTTCAGTTCGCAATTTGCCGTGTGCTGAATATGGTGAGTTTTCCAACCTGTTTGGAGATTCTCTGGTATTCTCTGTAAGATGTCGATACAAATGGTTTTGTTTTAGTGGGTCCAAGCCCGTATACGAATCACCCATGTACTATGGGTTACGGGTATCAAGCCACATGAAGTTGAAAGTTCTGTCCCATAGCTAGAAACTAAGTACAAATAGGTCAGAACTTCAATGCATTGGAGGGGAGTTATTTTCGAATTATTGTACACGACCAGCTGTGAAGTCTGTCAGGTTCAACTTCTTCAGTTGTGCTCAATATACTTCAAAGTGGTTAAGATATGAGTAGAATCCTAGTTGGGCTCCTACAACTTTCCTCAGACAGCCCAAACAGTGGTCGTTACAATAATTTAAGGATAGTCATGTGTGAAGAATGTCAATCCGTACAGTTACTTTTCTGTGGCTATGTAGCATCATTGTAAGGCAACTTCGAAATCTTATTTCCTAATCTAAAATATCCTGATTCCGTTCTTCATTTTCTATTTATACAGTCGATTATAACAATCTGCTTACCTCGTTATATGGTTATACTTTTTTTCACCTCCATTTCAATTTCCTATTTGTTCACTTGTTATTAATTTTTACCTGTTATTTATACCACTGATAACTTACCTCCTTGCGAAACACTACTATGTATCATCTATGAACAATCGAAGTGGGTTATAGTTTGCCAGGATCTCACGCATAAAGGTTAACCTCAATGAAACTTTAACAGAAATGCATATTGAATCAAATTATCTGTTCGTTCATGGGGATATTCTATGGGTTAAACTGTTGCAGGTATCGCATAACGTTAAAAGTATGGACTGTGGAGGTTTTGGGATGATAAAAATTGAGTTTTATGAAGTCAGGCATTAGCTGATACTACCCGGGATCATGAATTTTCATTAGTTGCAAATCAAAAATGGTCAGCGAGTTAACGGAAGGAAAGAAATATTAACTAATATAGGGTCACGAAGAAGCTTCTAGAAAGATATTGCTTTTCTTTATTATTATGCACGCAAATTTAGAAGTAAAGGGAAATACTAGTACGTGAATGAATAAATGATGTGGATTAGAAAAATGTAAACGAACCTACTTCATGTTCATAATAAAGTATATTTTCGACGATTGTCACTGCTAACGTATATTATATATATATATATATATATATATATATATATATATATATATATATATATATATATGCAGTTCAGTAAACGAAGAATATGTACGATAAACTGCAAAAAACCAGATTTTTTGAAGAAAGTCCGATTCACTAGTCGTTATGGTCTAATCAATCATCCCTAGTTTACGTTGATCACTCAAAAGAGATGTTCTTCGACAAATGGCGGATATGACCGATTCTCTATATTATTCGATTGGTAAACATCCCCAAGGGAAGCATATGACAATATCGCCTCGAGGATACTTTTGATTTCATTGAATCGGGGAGAAATATCGGTATCCTCAAGAGAAAAAAACCCCAGTCTGGATGACTCTCTCTTCACAAACACCCCTAGTTGAAACTATCTGCTTCATATGCGACAAGAATAAGTCCTACGACTCAGGAATTAACATTATCTACCAACTGCCCGAAAAACTGGTCCTCATATGCATTTTCAGACCCAATTCATCGAAGAATTCTGTGCACAGAAAGATGGCGTGGTAGTGGGTTCGCTGCTGGGTCCACTTCTGACTGATTGGTTCATGGTCGATATTGAAGACGGCTCGTTTATTAACAATCCATAATTTCACAGAAGGTACACCGATAACACCATGCGCGATGCAGATTTTGGTTTGAACCTCTTCAATGCTGCACATACATTGTCTTAAATCCACTGAAGTGTGAAATAAATTCCATGTTCCCATTACTAGATGTGCTACTAACAAGATCGGATAACCCTATGCAGAAATCAATGTATAGAAAACCAACAAGAACTGAAGGGTTTATCAACTTCCAAAACTATATCCCTTTCCTCAGCAAACAGAAACTAGCACGTTATTTTCAAGGGTTCAGAACATCTGTGCTGAAGGTACATTAATTAGCTCAAATTTCTACGTAGCATCATAGAAAAGGGTTATCCATCCACAATCATTGACTCTAACGTGAAAGAAAAGCCCCAAATGCAAAAGTTACCGACCGTCTTAGCATGAGTCCGGAATTCAAAGGCAGCACGGTAGCCGATTTCCCCCAAAGTAGGCTCTTAATGTCTCCGAGAACATTTCACGAGGCTAGCCTAAGAATAATCACATTCTGCAATACACAATCGGTCCATTAATGCTTTAAGGGTACGGTACCACTTTTGTCCAATCCAATATGTATCAGTTAGTTTCATTGTTCCTATGGCTAGACGTACACAGTTGCATAAGCGTATTATGGAACATTGTTCAGGATAGAAAGAAAATATCAACAGCTTTAATATGAGAGTGAAACTTGTGCACTGATTTATTAGCTTTATCACAACCTCGCCTGGTTAACTAGTACACTAGTTACTAGCCAGTCCTAAGCCGGGGTAAAGAGGGAAGGTTGGGCATGGGGCTAGCAACCCTACCCCGTAAAAAAAAAATCTAACCGCTAAAGAAGCTTCACAGCACAAACAAAATATAAAAATAAAAACAAGATTATTTCTCGCTGGAATCGGAGAGGCGAAATGACGCCGATTGGTGAAAGCCAAGAAGCCAATTGGCCAATGCGTCTTCTCTCTTCTGCATAGCCCAGAGACTTGCCGCGTTACGAAAGGCAATTCCAACAAACTACAGACATTCATCAACAACTGCCTACGCTCGCTATTGAAGATCAGATGGCCAGAAAGAATAAGCAATGAGGAACTTTGGGAACGAACCAACTGAGAGGCTATCGCTTAACAAATATGCAGAAGGAAGTGGAGATGGATTGAGTATACACTGAGAAGGCCGATTGGAGACATCACACGTCAGGCCAGGTACTCAAGTGGAACCTCAATGGGGAGCGACGAGTCGGGCATCCGAAAGTGACATGGAGATCGTGTGAGGAAGAAACGTAAGCTTGTGGGCTGTCGTAAAGCCAGGTTCAAAAGATTTCAGAGAACAGAGCGCATTGGAGACGTGCTACTGAAGCCCTATGTTCCATTAGCAACCCAGGGGACAAATAATAATTAGATTCATCACACAGTGTAACAGTATTGTTTACTGGATTACGTTTCGGACATAATTTGTTGTCCTTAGTCATATCAAGATAACTACACAACTTTGAGCTATCCTTTATATAGTCCTAATTTTCTCGTCTCTTTGTGAGATGGGCAGTAAAATTTTCCATATATCCAGAACAGGTGCTGAGTCATCCCTATTGCATGTGTTAGGTGTTGATTCGATAAACAAAGATTCAGTTATCAATCTCTCCCTCCACCCTGTTATGTTAGTTTTGAGAATTTTCACCCTGTCCCATCCTATTGTGTGGTTGTGTGTAATTGCATGCATAGCTATGGCTGAGCTTTTTTCTAAATTCCTTACCTTACTAGGATCTACCAATTTTGACCTAGCTATGTTTTTATGTTCCGATAGCCTAGTTGATCCTGGTCGACTACTTTGACCTATGTATTTGACCTCGCAATCTTTGCAAGAGATTTGGTAAACTGAGTTATTCTGCTTAATTGGGTCAATAGGATTTTTTAATTTACAAAGCTTATTTCGAAGTGAGTTTGTAGGTTTAAATGCCACTGTAATCCCAGTCTTATTGAGAATCCTACGTAGTGTTTGCTGAAGATAAAACAAAGTGGGTTATCAATCTTTCAACTAAGGTTTTAAGCTC